CTTCTGCCTGTCTGTCCTACATAATGGCTATAACAGTCCTTATACTGTATGTTGTAGATGACTCTTGTTTTTTTTCTTTGGCTGCTGGGTCTTTTGGTTTACTTAAGATGTTTTGGAGGACTTTAGTTGGTTTGTATGCTACAGTGATGCCATGTGGTTGTAAGAGTTTGTTGGCTGTTTCTGAGATGTTTCTGATGTATAGCAGTGTTAATTGGGAAACTGTCAGCATCTTAGACTAAGCTAAATCCAAAAACACGAAGGGATTCCTGGAAGTTTGGTCTTCCAACCCCAAGGACTCTGCATGAATTTTAATATGAAGCCTAGACATACATTCAGATGCAGGAGCTAACATACACCTGAACAGTGATTATTGATTGTCCAGGGTGGTGTGGAAGGAGACTGTCCATCCTCCTGCCTCACAGAGTCCTGATTGTGAAGACTGAGAATAAACTTTCTGTGGCCTGGTTGTCCATCTGCTTCCTTTTGTTAGGCACCTTGTTCCCAGCCTTTGAAATTGAGGCATACAAAGTGGTTAGACGTACCGACTTCCCCCGTTATCCCAATGGGGAGATTTCTGCTGTAATACATCCAAATCTACAGGTAAGTATGAGGAAAAGAAGGAAAGAAGAAAGGGCGTGTGTGTGTGTGTGCGTGTGTGTGCGTGTGTTTGCAGCTTTCTGGCTGCTCTTTAGAACACAATGGAACCCGGACCCCCTAAAACTTTGGATATCTGTTACATGAGCATTTTGTATCAGTATGACCTCACTTTGGACCTGTGCAATCACACCCCATCAGGTAGCCTTGGACCTGTCTTTTTTTTTTCCTGGCATGACTGCATTTTATTTGAAATTAGAGCAATTTGAGTTTTTTTTCCTTTGCAACACTGCAGATTGAGGTTGGTCCATTTGGGAAAATTTTTTTGTCCATCTCTCCTCCTAGGTTCTTTCTCTTTTCTTGTTGCATCCTGTTATCCTTCCACCTTCAGAAGCTTTTCCATGCCATAAAAAATGATTTTTTTTTTCTCTCAACAAGCACTAAAATCAACCACAGAGCAGAATCAAAATCACAACATCCACAGCAAAGTGTAAAATTAAAAACCACAGCAGCATGGATGCACCAGCAAATGACTGTGTTTCCTTTTTGTGTGGAGTGGAGATGTTTGTTACATCAGAACACCAAGAGGCTGTGGTGGGCAGGGCAGGGCAGGGCAGGGCAGAGCTGGGAAAACACCCTTCTCTGCATCTCCCCTTGGGCAGTGAGAGAGCACTCATTTGCTTCTTCATGATCTCAGTGTTTCAGGGCCAGGAGAAAGGACAAGGATTGCTGTTCAGCTTCAGATTGTCTTGTGAAGGATTGGGGAGTGGAAATGTTGTGGTAGGGGACTGGAGTTTTAGGCATGCAAAACCATGAGGTTTGGTAAGCGTGCCATAGCATTGCAAGACAGAGGAAAATTTCACCTGTCAGAATTTCCTTTTCTTGACCTTGTGTTCTCTGATCGTTCCTGACCACTGAGTCGTCTGCTTGAGTAGGATAGAAAGCGTAGGATAACACATCAGACTTCAAGGAAGTCTGCAATTAATCATCCAACAGTGACAGTACTCATTAAAACAGTTTCATCTCCCGCAAGGGTTGTTTCCAACTCATCAAAGGATGCTACCCAGGGGGAATTGAAAGGCTTGCTGTGTGAAAACCTTCTGGCTATTTTGTTCTTGGTATATCATCAAATAATCTCCCTTAGGATAAAGATTTCCAGCCCCTGAAGCCTGGGGACCCAGTTTTCCAGACTTTCGATGGAGAGGATATTCTGGATGATAGTGATGACACGTTCTTCCCAGTCTTCATCAATGAAGCAGCCTATTATGAGAAGAAGACGGCCTTTTGCAAGACAAAAAAGGGCACATTTGCCCAACCAGCAATACAGAAGGGATTTTAAATATGATGATGTGGTTTATAACTGAAGGCAACTGAAGTCTCTGTGTTTTGTATATTCTAAGAATCAGTGATCCTGGAGAAAATGTATCGATGTGGTCACTAAGAATCAGCACCAACTTGATGGCACATAATCAAAGAAGCTATGCATGATTTAATCCAAGAATCTACACCTTTGTAACAAACAAAGAACAATAATCACTCCTTAGTTTATTGCTCAATGCAATTATCTCCCATGTTGGGGCAATAGAGTATGTGCTTCTCTAAAACAATTATATCCCCTTGAGGTTTCATTTGAGGATTTTGAGCTAGACTGGTGCTTGCTCAACCTATTTTCTAGGATAACTTTTTGATGCACATGCAGCCAACCTGTTGTATTGGATGAGCCAGTGTGCTCCGGCAAAAATATTGTCTCTCAGATCTAAAACATCTAGGTCAGGGTCCCCAAACTCTTCAGCTCATCAACCTCTTCATGAAGTTTCAGTTTGTTCATTGACCCCAAAACATTTATTATATGAAAATAATTTAATAAATACTACTTTAATAATAGTAATATGAAAAATAACAACAACCGTAATAGATAAATGAGACCAGTAACTACACACAGCTGATAGAGACAACTCACCGCTGTCACTGATGGCTGACCATCCAACCCTGAGTAACATTGTCTCGCTGCTAGCCACTTCACCTTCAGGACTAGGGACTGGCATGGAGCTCTACAGAGACCCCAAAAGATTGACCCCAACTGACCTCCCATCATTTATCGACCACCTATTGACCCCCAGCCATTTACTGACTCCCCTTTGACCCCCAGCCATTTATCAACCCCTTGGATAGTCCCATCGACCCTTGAGGGTCAATATTGACCACTTTGGGGGACCCCGATCTAGATAATCCTGTATAAACTTCTCAGTGAGTTCTCAGAACTCACCATTTTATGTCATGCCCCATGCCTAACTGCACTGCATCAACCCTTCTGCTTAGCAGGGAAGATACAGGAACTTGACTTGTAGCACCAGGAATGAGAGGGTCTTTCTGCATATTTCAGAGCTTTAGGGCACAGCCAGATGACCCTGCTAAGGGCAATCCACTACTCCTTGAGCAACAGAAAAGTATCCTGGCATAAAGGGTGCTGCCCCCAGTGGCCCCCTTTATTCTGCCTCAGTAATGAGCCTGGCATGTGGGTCAGTCTTTGTAGTTTCCCCTGCATGTGGGAAAAACAGCTACCAGTCATGCTCCCTCCCTATCATGATGTGGGGGGAGGCTGAGCAAGCATAGGTGCTTTGAATAATAGGTTTGGCTACCTGTCAAGTTGTCCAACAAATATATCCCAAACACAGAGATGTTGTACCTGCTAGATGAGCTTTTTCTGACCATGGGCCTAAGCATTAAAAAAAAAAAACGCACTAAACCCATCATCTCCAAAAAAACGCTGAGAAGTCACAGATAAAGAAGAGGCATGCAAGGTGAAATGGGAGGTATCTGTGGAAACTCTGCCTTTCTGGAGTTGTATTTCCTGTTTTTAATCTGTGACAGGGAGAACAGACACAGAAGCAGGACTTTCTTCCTGCATGAAACAATGTCTGTAGTTAGTCTTCTGGAGCACCACATCCCACAGCCAAGCTACACACTCCATCTCTGTTTCTGCCCAGAGTTTCTTTGACTGCTAGAGTGATCAGATGGTAAGGGATGCTACTTGTCTGGGAATATTGTTTCTTGCAGCAAAGGAGCAAAGAGACTCTGGACCAAAGAACAGCTTTCAGTGACTCAATGCTTTCCAGAGGAGGAATACCTGAATTCTTAGCCAGCATGGCCAACCCTTGCTTAGCTTAATTTGGAATGCTGTGCCCATGCCTGAGGAGAACTGACCTACGCACGTTTTAGTTCTTGCTAGATTTGATTACGGCAATGCACTCAGCCTGAGGTATCCCTGGAAGGGTTTTCAGGAGCTTCAGCTGGTGCAAAGGAGTTGTAGGTGCTTACCTGTGGGACCACATTACTTCTATCCTGCCATACGCCTTTTGGTTGCCAAATGTTTATGGGTGTAATTACAATTGTTGATGATTACCTATAGCAGTGTTGTCCAAACTTGGCCACTATAAGATGAGTGGACTTCAACTCCCAGAATTCCCCA